CCATAAATGCCTATAATGTTAAACCATCAAAACATTAAGCCCCTCCCCTGCTTCCTCCGCAATTCATCTTGTATTGGGAATCCTCATAGGACATGTACGTTTGTTGTGACCAATTTGCTTACACAGGCTACATCTACTCTGACTGCTTGTCGGTTGAGACTCAACCCAATCCATCTCATTCTGTATCCTTGATGATTTGGGTCTTCCTTGTGCACGTACCAAAGATGCATTTGGGATAATGGTTGGGCCATCAATTTGTGGAATCAACAACTCATTGCCCATTGGATACCAATGAGCAGCATATACCTTATCAATTTGTGCAATTGAGAACACAGGATCAACATAATCATAGTGGTTCAACTTTTCTACCTTGCACACCGCTAAGACGTGACTGCAAGGAAATCTTCTAGATGTGAACCGTCCACATTGACATTTGCGATTGAGCAAGTCCACCCTCATTATGTCACCTGCATCATGAGTTGATTGATTGTAGGCATCCTCAACTTCAAATAGCTGCAGGTCCCTATCAAAAACCCGCACACGGAGGCTCACTGTTAATTGATCATTTTTTTGGATGATATCCTCAACTTTTTTTGCAATTCTCCAACCCTTTGCCTTTGCCTTTTGGATCTTTTCACGTCTCTTGACGAAATACTCAACAAGTCTACTTTGAGTCATCTTCACCAATGCTGTTATTGGCAAATTACGTGCACCCCTCAGGACCTTATTCACACACTTAGATAAGTTAGTCGTCATGTGACCAAACCTCCGACCGTCCTCATCGTAAGACCTGCACCATTTTTCTTTGGGAATCTGATCTATCCATAAAGCTACTTGAGGGTTACTGTCGATAAAATCCTGGAATCTGATATCAAAATGAATCTTTGAACTCAAGTACCCTGAAATACAAAATGATGCGTTAGATACAAAAGGATGAATTATATACAATTTGTACATATTAAAAAGAAGATTGTACCTAGCTTCATCAGGGTTTTCTTTAATTCCACATCTCTGAACTTAGTGTTAAAGTTGCTTCCGATGTGGCGTAGACAAAACACATGATACGCAAATGGTGGCTGCCAACCGGCATGATCTCTTACAGCCCTGATGATGCTGGGATGACGATCGGATATTAGACAAATGCCATGCTTATGCGTGACGTGAAAACGCATGAGGCTAAGAAACCACGACCAATCATCCAATCTCTCACCAGGAGGAACAATAGCAAATGCAATAGGGAGAATGTAACCATCTCCATCTTGTGAAGTTGCAATCAAAAGAGTTCCTTTGTATTTACCGTACAAATGCGTGCCATCAATTTGGATTATGGGTTTACAATATTTGAAGGCCTCAATGCACTGGTGAAAGGTCCAAAATACTCGGTGAAAGACAGCCTTATCCGTATACACTCGACGTTCATCAACACATTGGTCCGTATCAATCTTGAACACAGAACCCACATTAACCTGCGTCATGTATGTCAGCCAACCAGGCAAGAATGCATACGATTTATCCCAGTCGCCAAATAACTTGACAATGGCTTTCATTTTAGCCTTCCAAGCTTTCCTGTAAGATATGTTGTATCCATACAAACGTTGTACCCTCTCTTGAATAAGAACTGGCTTCAATGATGGATATTCTTTTAACATACCTATATAAAAAAAAACACCGGCCAACAGTCAGAATACAAACTGATTAACGTTAACATACCTTAGGAAGTTAGATATATCGAATAATACATACTGATAATGGTTGCACATATCACATCAGAATCCAACTGTCTATGATCCCGGGTAAGACCTTGGTTTAGGCAGGTGTGTTCTTTAACCCATTTACTAACCACCCAAGTATTTCCATTCTTCGGCAACAATGCCCTCACATACCAGGGACGTCCATCATTATGGTGTCGACACTTCATCACAAATCTATGGTCATCACTTTTTGCCACAACGGCAGTACGGTGAGCCTTCATATAATATAATTTGACTGCATGTTGCATTTCAGATTTGCTACGAAACTCCTGATACAAATATAAAGGATCCCCTAATTGCCAGCCACCGTGATCATCATCGTCACCATACAATATCTCCGTCTCATCATTAGGGTGAGCCCAATTAATGAAGGTATAATGTGAGCTTTCATTCCAAAATGGCTCGACCTCAGAACCTACGGATGCATTATAATGCCACCGTCAATACCATTCATAACAAAAAAAATAATTGCTAAATTAAATCTTTAAAAAACAAATCTTACCACTGCTAACAGGGTCAACACGAAGTGGTCTCGTAACCTGCGAACCCGGGGATGGTGAGCTTGTGTCAGCGTCGAAATCACCCTCTACGTCAGTATCTGACGTGTCACCTAGTGGAATAACACTCTCAGGTTCACCGTCCTCATCGCTGTCCATATCGGCATCCTGTTCATCCTCATCTATTTCCTGCAGTGTTATCTGACTTATGACATGTGCAGGTGCAGATAAATCGACTACTATTTCTTCATGACCAAAATACGGTTCACTTCTTGTATGCATGGGTGCAGATGAAGATTGACCACAATCTAATTCAACATATATCTCAATAAAATCTTGAAATTTTCGGTCAACAATTGCATCTATGACACATTCGACATCTTCATCATCACATATATCGTTACCAATGTAGTAAATAGCATCCTTACCAACTGTTGTCTCTACCCTGGCAATCATCCATTGAACGCATTAGCTGCCTTGCAAACCCAATTTTTGTTGAATTCTCTCCTTTAACTCATTGTATGTAGTGCCCCGTTTGATTTTCAACATTTTCGTTTTTCCTTCAAATTGAACACCATTGGGGCCTTCATAATGCTTTCCATCATAGTAGATCATTGTCACATACATGTTTGGACTTGTGCTCATCTTCCTCACGAAATTGGGACTTGGGTTCTGAAATTGGGGGTTTGGGTTCGGATTTTGGGGTTTGGAATTGGGCAATGACAATGATTTCACAATATTAGGTCTGTAGAGATGGTGGGATGAAATACAATCGGATTGAGAGGATTACACATGAACAAAGGGAGCTATTTAGGTTTACACAACAACAACAATCGAAATGAGACCGAAAACATGGAAAATATAGGGTTTCAGTCGACATTTAGTCGACTAAATATCGATACTTAGTCGACTAAATATCCCAAAAATGTAGTCGATTAAGATGATTTTTTAGTCGACTAAATTTGCGGTAGTCCACTTTCTGAAGATTGACCATTTGCTCGACTAAAACAGCAAGGTAGTCGACTAAAAGGGGGCAGGTTGGTGGATAGTTCTTGATCAGGGACAAATTGGTTATTAATTAATTAATGAGGGGCAAAAGGGTCAAAAAAAGTGGGGTCCATTTATTTAAAAAATAAATAAATAAAGTGGCGATTTCTGTACAGAAGAAAATTTTGTTTCTTATAACAACAAATTTATATTTCCCAATAAAAAAAATCACTTTCCGTTAAACCCGACTAAGGAATGTGGAGTGGAGATAATTTTTGTATGCAGTCTTACTTGATAAATATATATGTTATATTATAAGAAAGGAAAACCATTTTCCTAGTAACACTTCAAATTTTTGAGCCCTCCTTTTTAAAAAAAAAAAGTTTGCACGATCCACCAAATACATTAAGTCTGTAGGAGATGTTATTCCTTTCCAGCAACATGACGAAAGTAAACCCCTGAACTATTAGGGGGTGTTTGTTTCAAATTTTTGAGGAGGATTACTGGTAATCCTTCTTTGGTAAATGTAATTACCACGTTTGGTAGAAGGAATAAATTACGATTCCTGGATATCTAAGGATTACCGGTAATTTGATTTATAAAGAAAAGTCACTATTCAGATTACCAAAAATAATATGGTAATTCGGAATACCAATCAGAATACCAAGTAAAGGGAAAACACAACAATAAATTTTGAGACAAAAATACCCCAATACACATAAAAATCTAGACCCAATCTATCAATTACAAAAGTAAAAATAGTTTGGGGCTATTTTTGTAAAATAACCTCATATTCCAAGTCATATTTCGTTCTAAACCAAATATGGAATCAGTAATTTTTACCCAATATTCCCGGTAATATTTTGACGAACCAAACAACTCTTTCGTAAGATTCCAAGTAAACTCAATTTCTACTGAATTCCCATTAATCACGATTCCCGGTCACCAAAAAATTTCTCTTGTACCAAACACACCTATATAAGTTCTGCATGGAATTGTTCTAGAAAAGGAAAACAAAATTATAGCTTTTTTGGTGGAGGGTACATGACAATACAGAATTTTGAATATAGTTACTTACCCAAAATATCACTTGCTTTTTGGCACATGACAATATGTATACGTGCATATATATTTTGTTGCAGACTATTAAAACACCACATCACTAACCCACACCTATTGAGTTAACACAGACACAACCCCACAATGTCAGCTGAAAATTGCGACTTCCAAGTTCAAACCTTTAACAAACCATTTTCAACACTAATCTGTCAAATTAATTACGACAGTACACAAGTATCTATATCGTTAATACATATAGTTCATGCATCCATGATAAACACACAATTAAACATAGTAGATGAGTTTGAATTTATCAGTTAAATAAAGTACACTTACATACAAGGGTACTGTGACTACCATATCAATAATATACAATTCCAACATGTCTATATTAGGAACTAATCTAAACTTCCACTTACAAGATTGGCAACAGAGCCAATCTAAACTAATCTAAACATGTCTGTATTAAATATCGTGTGCTGCGTATTGTGTGGATGATTTTGACACAGTTGAAATGGTTTTGGTGGCTAGGGATGAGAGACTGAAAGCAGTGATTGGGCCACTCCTACAAAAGATTGAGATGGAGAGGCTAGAGAGGATTCAAGCTCAAGAAGAACTGATGAAGAGAGAGGAACTGTGTGAGAGAGGCAAGAAAGTGCAGGAAAGTTATGAAACATTACTGAAGGAAGTGAATATCCCTTGGCAAAGAGGGTAATCCAGGATCTTTCCCAAAAAAGAGAGTTTTGACTATCTGCCTAAGTTTAACTTTTCTTTTTACATGTAATACCACGGGAGCCTAATGGAAGATTATCGATGTTTAATAAGTCAATAGAGGAACTAGAACTGGAACTCGAGCTGGAAGTGTCACTATCAGAAAAAGGAAATTTTCTCTTGACCATTTCAATCCTCTGTGCTTTCGTAAAAATGCTTTTCTGTTGGGCTGGATCTGATGAACTTGGATGCTCATCCTTCACATTAATTTGAGAAATAGCCTTCTTTCCAAGCAATCCCGGCGACATATACCTATTGTCATCATCATCATCATCAAGGTCTATCAACTCAATAACATTCTCTGATACCAATCTTCCCCCATCTGGGACAAAAGAGAAATGTGAAGCTTACATAGCATTACATTTGCCAGCACAATAACTCAAGCAAAAGCTTGAAAAAGATAGAATAGTAGATTCTGTAATCCAAATAAAATATTGGTAGCTGCCTCAGCATTCATGGATGATCCAGCCTCTGGCACTTCTAATTGACAATATACGCTTTCATTAAATTCAAATAATATATACAGCAGGGTACCCTATAATCTTGTTTACATAGGAAAAACAAAACGGCTTTTCTTACCAACTTTCGTTTGCCCTTTCTTTTTGTTTTTATGGAAAGAAAATTTTATCAAGAGAAAAAGAAGAAATCACAAAAGACATGATTTGAAGTTTCCTAAGAGAACAGAAATATAAACGAGAACAGAAATCAAAAGAAAACCTCAACAGTTACAAGTTAAAACTTGTGGGAAATTTTATGGCATTTTCACTTTGAAAATAGGAATGGATGATGTGATGAGTTTATGGTCTAAAATTGTGATTAATTATGGTTGCATGATCGTTCAATCACCTAAGAAACCAGTTAGGCTAAGAACTAGTAGCCTCACTGTTAGGACCTTCGACAGATCATAGAAAAATTGTCTGCGGATTTTATTATTTCCGATAGATTATTAGAAGGGATTACAGGACTGTTATAGGACAATATAACAAGAGTTTTTCCTCCTAGCCACTCCTATCTCTGTCAACAAAGGAACTTAAGCAGAAGATTACAAAATTGAAATAAAGTGACTGGCCATGTGTTGGGGCCTAACACTCAACAATTCAACTAAGTTATTAAAACATTTCTCTCTACCATAGTCTTTACATACACATTGCCTTAATAAAGCAGGAAACATCATGGTTCCAACTACCTAAAAATGTGACCAAAGTTCATTCATCTGATCACTTCTATCTAATTCAATATTTCTAAAGTAATATTCACAAAATGCGTATTTGTATGCAGAATTTTCATACCTGATGCACCTAGAGCATCTTTCTTTGCTTTGCTTGGGAACTGAGTAGTGCCAACACCAAGAGAGTGGGGAGTATCTTCATTTCTTTGCAAAGGAGCAGGGCCTCCAGTGTCAATTCCAAACTTGTAGCCATTAACATCCATTTCATTCAACTCTTCATTCTCTTTATCTATGACTTGAAAAGTACCCTTACTATCAGCTGGAGGCTCCCCTTTAATGTTTCCACAACCAGAGGCATCTGCACTAATTAAAAGTTTTGTATCCACCTCCAACTTCACAACCCTTTGATTCATTTCTCCAAATTTCCTCTCCAAAGACTCAACCAATGCCTTAAGCCTGAGCTTCTCGTCTTCCAATTTGTGATTTTGAGTACTCAACTCATCAATGGTTGCCAAATTCTTCTTTACTCCTTCTTCTAATTCATTGTTTTTTATCCTAAGTGCAGCCAAAGTATTCTTGTCATCTAGCTTCTCATCCTCCAACTCACAGACTCTGATCCTAAGCTTATGCAAAACATTGCTATCTTCCACCCATTTTTTCTTCAACTCCTTCAGCTTGAAATTTTCAAGCTCTAATTCAAGGTTTTTATTCCTTAGCTCTTCAATAGTATTTTTATCAACTAATCCATTTGTCTTCACTTCTTTCAGTAATGTTTCATAACTCTCCTGCACTTTCTTGCCTCTCTCACACAGTTCCTCTCTTTTCATAAGTTCTTCTTGAGCTTGAATCCTCTCTAGCCTCTCCATCTCAATCTTCTGTAGGAGTGACCCAATCTCAGCTCTGAGTCTCTCATCCCCAGCCACCAAAACCTTTTCAACTCTGTCAAAATCATCCACGCGATAAGCAGAACGCAATACTGAGATGAGTTCCGGAATGCTCTTCCCCTCAAAGTCTCCATGGCTGCTCGACGCCACAGATGGGGACGCAGGTTCTGTTTTGGGTAGAGAGTTCATGAAAAACCTAGAAAGGTACAAACTTTGGAAGAAAAGAGTGGAGGAAACAATGGGTTTGGCAAAAGTCACCGACTTTTGATCAGAAGAGAATGAGAATAAGAGGCTTGTTCTTAAGCAGAAGAGAGAGAGAGTAACGGGTTGATGTGAAATGAAGCAAAAGAGAGAGAGAGAGTGAGGAAGATGAAAATGGCGCCTAAAACAGAAGAAATGAAGAAAGAAAACTTTACTTTTTTTTTTTTTTTTTTTGGATAAAAATGAAGAAAGAACACTGACTCTGTATTTCTTCACACATTGAACACACACCTTATTTACCCACACTCCTCACCAGGTTAACCCTAATGGGTTGTAACTTGAATAATTTTTTATTTTTTTTAACTACATATTTTTTATTAATTCACTTACTTTTTATTTGTATGGAGAATATTTTTATCATATTGTACGAGACAGTGCAACACATAAAAAGTGAAAAAGAAAGGAAAGAGAGAAAAAGTAACCCACAGTTCCACCTTTGCTTCACGGTTCTCTTTTCTTTTTTTATAATTCTAAAAGCACATTTTTTCAGTAATATAAAGGGTATTCTCTGACTATAATCGAAGACTAATCCCTAATCGAGTATTGTTGGACTCTTTCGGGGGTGGCTCTTCCAAATCTGGGGGCGGCTCTCCCAAATCTTTTTTTTTTTCATTCTCAGGATTCGAACTCGAGACTTCTGGTTAAGAGACGCTCCTTACCACCTGTACGAAAGGAGTTTGGTTAATTCTAAAATCACATTGGTAACAATATATTGTGTTCTAAATTAATTATCATTCTAAAATTTTAAATCATGTGAGGTAAAATATTCACATGAGAACATCTCTCTTCTTAAAATAAAATAAAATAATACTCTGCTTAGAATAAATTTTAATTTTGTATTTTTAGTGGGTTATGTTTGTATTACGTTGCTGTAAGCAACAATAAATTTCCTCCAGACTAAGCCAACGAGAGAGAGAAAATGAGATAAAAAAAGAAAAGAAAAAACTTGTGGTACCCATGATTTTATTGTGTCTACATGTAACCACAATAATTTTCTTATAATATTATATTTACATTTCCCTTCTTTTTTTTTGGTAATCACATTTCCCATTTTTAATTAATGAAAATATGAGACTTTGCATCTTCATCATGGTAGATTTTGCTAGGAGAACATAAAAGTCATTTTCTTAAGTATAAGAATTTCCAATGCCCCATTTATTTATTTATTTTTATACCGATTTTAATTATGTCTTTGAGTTGATTCGGCTTCTTAAATATCTCGATAAATTTTAACTTTTTTGAATCGAATATGAAATTAATCCCCAAAACTTACCCCCTGCTAAAAAATGTATTTGGTGGGTCTAATGTCTGGTTTCAGTCGTAGGTGTCAGCCTCTTGGCATTTACTTTAGCCATCTTTTGCTTCTTTAAGTTTATTCTTCATAGCCACTAAATTTTTTTTCAGCCATTTCAACTTCTTTTAGTCAGCATGATACTATTTGTACCGAGACAGATTAACAGACAACTCATTAACTCATGTTCAGATTTCAAAAGTTATCGAAATTAATTCTAAAGGACTTGCTTTATAAGACATGCCAAATTTCTGAAAATAAAAAAAAAGGAAGAAGAGAAAGAATGACAAATCAATTATTGATAAATTAAGAGCTTGATTGGGTATTATTATGGCCAATGTCTGAGAGGGAGTACACACAAAAGTTTCTACAATATGGCCTTAAGCCCTTAACTTGTAGCTGAGTGATAAGTGATAGGAATCAACTGCAAATCCTGTTTTCTTTTTACAGACAAGCCAAAGGATTCAGTCATATCAAGCTTTTCAGGCTTGTCTCCTTTAGCCACCTTCCAATCAAAATGGAAAAGCAAATTTGCAAGTGAAAGTTCAACATTAACAATGCCAAATGTGATGCCCGGGCATATCCTTCTTCCAGCACCAAATGAGATAAACTGAAATTCTGCACCTTTGTAATCAATTGAGCTATCAAGGAACCTTTCTGGATAAAATTTCTCAGCTTCAATCCAATAGTTGGGATCCCTCCCAATTGCCCATGCATTAACAATGGACCTTGCTCTTGGCTGGTATCTCATACCTATAAATCTCACATTTTTCACTGCATTCCCTTGGAAGTAACAATGCAATAGGTGGATGTAGACACAAGGTTTCTTTGATAACTGATCTCAAGTATTTCAGTTCATGAATACTTGCTTCATCCACATATCCTTTCCCATCAAATACCATTCTTACTTCAATTTGTGCTTTCTACATCACCCTTGGGTTTTTCACAAGATCTGACATTGCCCAATCGATAGTTGTTGATGAAGTGTCACTTCCAGCACTGAAAATGTCCTAAAAGAGATCTTGGAGCATTACATTATGTAAAATAATCACCAAGAATTCATCACAGAATCAAATTTATCAGTTTAGCTTAACATTAATATGAGTTTTCCAATAAAGTTACCTCTCAATTTGAATCCATCAAATTCATTTATTGTTTATGTTAAAAATTTATTGGTCAGGTTAGTGTAAGTCAAGTGGAGTTTTTCCGTGTGACTACAAAGGTGACTAATTAAATAACCACTAAACTTAAAGGTGTATGCATTTCGAACCACTTTCCTAGACACCAATATAAATTAACGTTATCTATATAATTCCACCAGCCAAAAAATCAACATGTACAAAAAACACTTATTTAGTAACAAACAAGATTTTACGTAGAAAACTCAACTGAAAAGAATCACCGGAAGAACTCTCAGAAATCCACTAAAAATATCTAGAATATTGCAAAATTTATCTATATGAGAAAATAATTTTACTATTATTTTCTCTAACTCCCTCACACCAGAAATGCTCTTAACTTTAGCTCTCTCTCTAAACTTTCTCTAAAGCATTTGCTATGCTTTTCTTCTGGTGTGTTTAGAACTTGTTCAAGCACCCTTTATATACGCAAATTTCCATTTAGTGTGAAAGCTAATAGCCAACATTGTAGCATGTTTTTCCATATGAAAAACAAGTAGCCTACCATGTTCAAATTTGATAGCCCACTATGAAAATTAAGTCAACAATCAGTTTAAGTGCGATAATAAGAAGTGGACCTAGGCCAGTTGTAAATGACTGATCTTAGGAGGACTCTACTATATGACTCAAGATTTTGAAATTTCGCAAGGTTTTCTATAGGTGAAATACTGAGAGAAAAAAATGATTGCTCTGACAATACTATAAAAGATGTTCAAGACTAGTATATCCTACTTTGTCCGCATCAAACAATTGTTAACCCAGAAAAAATACTGAAAAGCTATGGCAATTTTGCATGGATTTTTAACAGAAATATACTAACCAAAATGGTTGTTTTGACAATACTGTCAGATAGAGGATGTTCGAGGTCACTATTCTTCTGAAGCCTTAAAAGAACATCAACTAGATCTTCCCCATTTTCTTCACCAACAGCTTCTATTCCAGTACGAGTACAATATATGCAACCTGTTCTCAAGAGAATCTTGTAGCATGTTGAGACTTTGCCATCTCCCTTAAGACAGCACCAACAATAGCTGCCTGCTCAAGGCAGTCAGCCTTATGCAATGCATCTAAAAGAACAACACATGTTTTGCTATGTATACGACAACCTCTCAGTCGAGTTTCCTCAAAAAGTGTATATGCATCCATTGCTTTATTGGCACCGCTTAGTCCTTCTATCATAGCATTATAACAAGCTGAATCAGGTATGCCCCCACTTGCCTTAAATCTCTCAAAGAGGCCTTTCGCTTCTTGAACATTTCCAGCCTTTGCAAGTCCTGAAATCATGGTGGTGTATGTGATAGTATTGGGTTTTAACCCTTGTTTCTGCATTTCTTGCCAGAACACGTAGGCCTTATTAAATTTTCTAACCATACAAAGACCATTTATCATAATGCTGTAAGTTATTTCATTTGGAGAACATTTCAAGCTTTTCATGTTCTGAAAGCAGACCAGAGCTTCATCTATCTCCTCAGCTTTCACCAATGCATCAAGCAAACAATTCCATGTGTATGCGTTTGCGGTCAGACCTTTCTGCATCAACTCCTCCAAAATTAAATATGCTTCATCAATCCTTCCCACCTTCCCAAACCCATCAATAAGACTACTATAGATAACTACATTTAAATCAACACCTTTTGATTTTGCTTCTTC